TCGTGTGTCTGTGTGTGTGTGTGTGTGTGTGTGTGTGTGTGTGTGTGTGTGTGTGTGTGTGTGTGTGTGTGTGTGTGAGAGAGAGAGAGAGAGAGAGAAACTGCAGCCTTCCAGGCACACGGGTTACACTTTGGATCTCACCAGCCTGGGTTGTACTTCAGGGTGACCCCAACATACCCCCAGTCTTAGATTTCCCCCCAGAAAGGTGTGTCCTGTATTGTTCAACCCTCTCCTGGACAATACAAGTTATATTATGTCAGTTATTTCTTTAAAAAGAGTAATGTACACACAACTTGTCACCCCAAATGGAATTTCCCAGATACTTCAATGTAAATACACTGGATTAGAGAAAACAATAATACAAGTTTATTAACTACAAAGAGAAAGATTTTAAGTGAGTGACAGTAATGAGGCATAAAAGTCAGAAATGTTTACAAGGAAAATAAAGATAGGACATTTACTAATACATAACTTAACAAATTATATCAGATTTAAGCAAAGTTTCTCACCACATGTTTTCTGCAGTCTCAGGGACCAAACCCTGCACGTCAGGACCCTTCTTCCAGAGTCCAACAAATGCTTCCTTTGTCTCTCTAGATGCAGAGAATGTGATAGGCAGGAAGAGAGAGAATGGGTCTTGCGGTGATTGTCCCTCCTTTTTATAGTTTCAGTCCCCCCTCTTGAAAAACATTTCCGGGTGAGCACCAGGAGACAAAAAGGCTATGTGGAAGGATATTCCCTGCTGATTTTTTCTTACCTATTTGAGCGTCCTTTGTTCCCTGTTTGATGACTCTGTTTACTGCTTCAGTGAAAATTAAGCAGTGCACACATTCTTTGTTTAGGACAGACTAGTTTTCAAACGATAGCTCACAAGGCATATTTTGTACAAAAAATATTACAACAGTGTGTAGGGTGTGAACACAGGGGTACATTCTGTCATAATGTCCTACAAGGGGAACAACACATCCCCCAGCAGGTGTCTGATTCCCCTAAAATGTCTCTGTGACCTAGATCCCATCCATCCAGATCCTATGTCCCTCAGCACAGAAAAAGGCTTGGTTCAAATCAGGGAAAGTTCTTTGTAACAAATATTCTCTGTATCAATAGCAATCCCTGGTCTCCCCGGTCTCCTTTCCCAGGATTTGCAGTTCCCAAACCTGCTGTGATCTCCTGGCTGGAGCAAGGGGAAGAACCGTGTTTCCCAAATCTGCAGGGCACTGAGGAAAGTGAGATCTCCAGGAGCTTAGGTGAGGAATCCGTTATCCTGACACAGAAATGTTAAAAGACAAATTAAAAAATTGGGATTCCCACAAGGGCCCCGTGAGCTCATCCAGGTCTGGATCATTCCCAGCAGCGGCTAAACCCTCACAGCATGTGTCACCAAGAGGCATCGAGTCTGGCTGCCCCCTAGTGGTACCTGCCTTGCTTCTGACTGTTCAGGTGGAAGGTGGAAACAGAATGGGGCCTCTCCTCTGGAGAAGGGTTGTGGAGAAGGGGGGGAAGATTCAGAGCCTGATTTTTCAATTGCCCTAGCAATTATTTTGGGTTGTTTTCCCCTTTCCTATTCCCTTTCCCACAGCACAGGGAGTGCCTCCTGTCTGGATTCTCTCTCTGTCCCAGAAGGTCATCGGTATCGGTGAGTGAGACCGAGGAGGGGAACCCTCAGCAGGAAGGTTCAGAGCAAGTGGAATCGCTTGGGTCGGTATTGGCAAAATCTGAAGGGGATGTTTCCCATGGTCAGTGTAGACCAGAAATAGAGGAGAGAAGCCACCTAGTGGAGGCACGGGGTCAGGATCCTGGGGACGGTTTTCAGGACCTGAAAGAAATTATGATCGAACCAAAAATCCATATGAGAGAGAGTAAATACACATGCACTGAGTGTGGGAGACGCTTTGGGCAGAGCTCGGACCTTATTGTACACCAGAGAACGCACACGGGAAAGAGCCCCTACAGCTGCCTTGAGTATGGGCAAAGCTTCAGCCACAACTCCAACCTGCTCCAGCACAGGAGGAGCGACATGGGGGAGAAACCCTTTATCTACCCTGTCTGCGGGTTTCCAGCTCCCAGCCCTGCCCAGACCCATTTCCTGCAGCACCCCGGGACAGCTTGACTTTCCTGGGACAAGGTGATGAGCAGAGATAGGAAAAGCCAGTTCCTGCCTCTGCCTCGTCCCCACACTGTGAGAGAAACCCTACAACTGCCCCGAGTACGGGCAGAGCTTCAGCCACAGCTCGAATTTCCTGAGGCACCAGAGAACCCACACAGGGGAGAAGCCCTTTCAATGCCCCGAGTGTGAGAAGAGCTTCCGAGAGAGATCAGACATCTACAGGCACTACAGAACCCACATGGGGGAGAGATCCTACCAGTGCCTTGACTGCGGGAAGGGCTTTGCTGTGAACTCAGACTTGAGAACACGAGAGTTCACACGGGAGAGAAACCTTATCAGTGTCTGGGGTGTGGAAGGATCTTCAGCCGGACCTGCCACCTGATTGCACATCAGCGAACGTTCATGACCTATAAGGCCCCAAGAGCAGAGGGGGGAGTGAAAAACACATTTACTGATCTTCTTGTGTGTCAGGGGAATCAGCTATGGCATATCTGTCTGCCTGTCTCTGTATGCTTGTCCCTAGTTCCTCTTCCCTTCCACCACCACTGTATGGCCCTACAAATGCCACATCTGTTCTCCTTTTGCTGGCCTTGCTGTGTCGAGGTTCCTTCTTGGGATGTTTCTTTTGGAGTGAGGCATTAGTGGGGGTAAGCCAGAGCGGTGTAGAGATCTGATGTCAGCTGGGTATAGAGCAAACTTTTTGGCCTGAGGGCCGCATCGGGTTTTATAAATTGTATAGAGGGCCTGTTGGAGAAAAACGAGTCCTCACTCTGAGTTTGAAGCAACAAGCCAGAGGCAGTTTATTCTCAAGCAATTGCAAAAGGGGGAGAGTGCACAACGGCAGGTCTCCCAAAAGAGAAACAATTAAGACAAGCATTTATACCTTTTGTTACATACAGTAATGATCAACAGCTGCATTTTGTTTATACATATTCCTTCCAAATAGCTTACTTTTCTCAGCAGTTCTTGCTATAGTCTGCATTCCATTCTTAACTAACACAAGGTCAAAACAACCTCTCTTACAGTTCTTTTTCACTCGCCCAGGCCCTGCCTGGAAGTCTCGCGTTCTTAGCTGTTAGAGTTAGCCTGACTCTTGCTCTTCCTAGAAGACTAAGATGTCTGCGCTTTTTTCCACTTCCACAGGCCGGTTAGGGGAGGGAGTCATGGCTGGGCCCCCACCTCCTATCTGCCCCCCCAGGACTCCTGCCCCATCCAACCCCCGCTGTTCTCTGACTGCCCCCAGAACCCCTGCCCCTGACTGCCCCCAGTCAACCTCCTGTTCCCCTCCACCACCATCCACACCCCCGCACCCTGACCACCACCCCGAACTCCCCTGCCCTCTATCCAACCCCCCTGCTCCCTGCCCCCTTACCGTGCTGCCTGGAGCACGGGTGGCTGGCGGCGCGGCTGTGGCTGGAGCCGGCCACATTGCCATCACCACCGCACAGCACAGAGCACAGGGTCAGGCTCAGAGAAGCTCACAGTCCCGCCGCCCAGACTAGCATTGAGCCGGCAGTGGAGCATGCTAGCTGAGGCTGCGGGGGAGGGGGGACAGGAGGGGAGGGCCAGGGGATAGCCTCCAGGGCCAGGAGCTCGGGAGCCATGCAGGACAGTCCCGCAGGACGGATGTGGCCCGCGGACCCTAGTTTGCCCACCCCTGTATAGAGCAATGCTTGCAACACGGATATGTCAACTGCCCTGCTACTGCTGACCCCACACTATGCTGCTGCAGCTGCTGGGAGGATCCACAGGTTAGGCTGGGAGCGAGTGGGGTTAGGAGACCAGGATAAAATGCCGCTGGGAAGGTCAAAGGGACTCGAGACTTTATTTCACCACCCCATCCCCTGTAATGACAGTGCAGCCTGGAAGTATTGGCTCACCTAGCGGCCACAATCCAGCCAGACTCAACCCCTGGCCAAGGTCCCCGCTGTGCTTTGTTCCGCCCAGCTTCCAGCCTCAGCTGCTACTCAATAACTGCTGGGTGAGGGTTTGGGTGTCAGCTCAGCCCATGATTAGCAAGGGAGCCCAGAGTGTGCGCCCGGCTTAACAGTGGCCTCTCCCCACCTTGGATGGAGTAGGGGAGATAAGACCGGAGGGAGTGAATGTTTTCTCAGAGGGTCCCCATATTAAAACAATCTCAGGGCTGATGGGCAGCTGGCTCCAGAGGGTGGCCTGGAGCCATGGGTGGCAGCAGTGGGCACGTTTCTCTGGGACCTTGTCTCTGTCTTATTTGGTTTGGAAGGTTCTCTGTGTTCTGGACGGATCAGTTGTGTGTTGTGTTTCTGTCCCCAGGTGAGCACAGAGAGGGGGCTTGACTGTCCTATCAGAGGGCTCTGGCTATTGCTGAGGGAGAGGAGACTGCTTTTTCATTACCGCTGCTCAGTCTGGGCACAGTTGAGCTTCCTAGGTCAGATGGTGCTACAGTAGCCATCACCCTGTACCCATCACCATGTCGGAGCCCAGGCTGAGCAGCTGCTGCTTCTCAGTGGGGTTTGTGCGGGGAAAGCCCTTCCCTAGCGCCCTTTTGTGCCCAACCGGGGGGCTTTCTCCGGGGGCTGAAACCAGCCCCTGGGGCAGCCCCGGGCTCTGCCGACACCAGCTCCTGAGGGGAAAGGGCGGGGGCCGGGCAGGAAAGTGACTGCTCCACCGGCCCCTGATCACCCTAGCTCTGCTCCCGGGCGGCAGTCTGCAAGTCCCAGAGCTGCTGCCCTCCCTGACTCCCCCAGGCTCTCCTCTGAGTGCCTGCAGGAGCCGAGCCAGCTCCCAGAGAGTGAACATCCTAGCACCGGGCCAGGGACCGAATCTCCCAGTCCGAGAGGAGGGGAAAGGGGGCAGAAAGGAGACATGGGGAAAGACTGAAAAGAGCAGCAGGAGCAATAAGTGGGGAGGGAGGTTTCCAGCTCCCAGCCCTGCCCAGACCCATTTCCTGCAGCACCCTGGGACAGCTTGACTTTCCTGGGACAAGATGATGAGCAGAGATAGGAAAAGCCAGTTCTTGTGTTTGCCTCTGCCTCGTCCCCACACTGCTGGGGGAATGTGGTGTACTGGGGACAGTGTCAGGGGGATACCCCAGAGCATCTCCTTTGATTCTGCTCTTTTCTAGCATTTGATTCACAGACTGTTACCAGGAATCTCTTTTCTGCTGTTTTTTCCATCCCCTTTTGAAAAACTCAATTTGATTTTCAAACCTCCTGGCAATGCCAGCTGTACCAGGCCTATCTCCCTGCTCAGAGTGGGTCTGGTCTCTGTGCGGCCTTTCACATAATCTGGCTGCTTCAAAGGTGTAGTGACTGACCCAAGAGATCCGTGGGGTCATGTGTATGAAGCCCTAAATCTCAGGACACTGAGTTCCTGTGCGTGTATTTGTGTAGGCGAGAGGCCAATTTTGGGGGGGAGGCAATTTGATTCCCAATCCATCATAATGAGGTACATGCCCATTACTTTCTGGACTTAGAGGACACAGGTGACCCTGAGTTGATCAGTCACTCTGACACCACCTGGTCCGGCAGAACCCCTGGCAGGGGAGAAGTCCCCTATCAGCCACTCCTCATTGCTCCAGCCCCAGCTGCTGGGCCTGAGGCTTCTCTGCCAGCTTGCTGGGAGAGGGAATTGCTTTGTAAACCTTTCAATTCACTTCTCCTGCTTCTGCCCCAACTCAGTTGGACAGCTGGTGAAGCTGGTCGTGATGCCTTGAGGAAGTTGCCAAGTGTTAGACATTCCTCTCTCATGTTCCAACTCACCTCATCACCAGAAATGCCAGTTGGCCTCTCTATGAATCATAGAAGATTAGGGTTGGAAGAGACCTCAGGCGGTCATCTAATCCAATCCCTTGCTCAAAGCAGGACCAACAACTAAATCATTCCAGCCAGGGCTTTGTCAAACTGAGCCTTAAAAAAACTATAAGGATGGAGATTCCACCACCTCCCTAGGTAACCATTCCAGTGCTTCGCTACCCGCCTAGTGAAATAGTATTTCTTAATATCCAACCTAGACCTTCCCCACTGCAACTTGAGACCATTGCTTCTTGTCCTGTCCCGTTTCTCACTGCGTGACGACATGCAGGTGAGCCCCCAAATTCCCCATGTTCCACACAAATTGTCAGTGCTAAATATTGCTATCATGAGAAACCAAGAAGCACAAAAATGAGCTGATAGCGAGAGTCACGTACAGGACCTGGTCAGACGGATTGATCTGCTGGTCTCTTCTGGCCTCACACTCTGTGACTCTAGGAAGGGATCTCACAGCATTTCAGTTTACCGCTGGAATGTTTTTTGGTGTGCCTTGCTTAAGTCTTTTTCACATTTTGCCCCAAATGTAGCTCATGGCAGGTCTGGCCCTTCCTCATGTGAGGGAAGTTTTGGTCAGCATCTACACCAATTTTGTAGCATCCCCAGTAGCTGGGGCAGCCCACGTCAGCAGGTCTGGCTCCTCTCCGAGCTGCCTCACTACAGGAATTTCCCAGACCATGGGGCTGGAACAGCTGTACGGAGCTTCTTGCCACCTCCAGCCTATCTGGGCAATGTAAGAACAAACTTTTTCCTCCTCGTCAGACGGCTGGGCCACAAATGGCAATCAGACCACCAGGAAGAAAGAAGTTCTTTATTGCTGAGATAGGAAATGATTATATAAAATGACAGGGGTTAATGCATTGACAAAGCCCTGGCTGGGATGATTTAGTTGGTCCTGCTTTGAGCAGGGGGTTGGACATGATGACCTCCTGAGGTCCCTTCCAACCCTGATAGTCTGTGAATCTATGATTCTAATACAATGCTCAGCATTTGTAACTTATCAGCCAAGAGTCCATGCTGGGCCCTGACTGCTTTTCAGCAAAAGGAAGACCGGGGAAGACAAGGCAGAGAGGATGTTCCTGGCCCACTTACATCACCCCTTGGCTTAAGGTGCCTGGCTCACACAATCAGCTCCAGGTAGGGAGCAGGGTGTGCTGTTAGCTACATCGCTAGTAGTGTGTAGCAAAGTTCCTTTAACACAGAAACCAGAACAGATCCCAGGGGGCTATCCAGGGATTTTCGAGCTACCACCTCTTACAGTGTAAATCCGTCTCCCTATACTAGGCTTTTAACATGTTGGCTCAGACCCACTTCAACACCTAGCTTTTCTCATAGGGAAGACACAGCTGATAGTTTCTGTCTGAGGTGGGGTGACAACATTCCCTATCTACTGGCGGATAGTCTTTTGCTAGCATTTCTGTCTGCAGCTGCAGGCTGAGCAGAGGTGCCCGTTGAAATGTCTGCAATGCCAGTTCCCCAATCCCCACACTGAGAGGAGGGTTGGCAGCGCTCCCCTGCAGGCAGCCAGGGGAGGCCCCGCATTTCTGGGGCTATTTTGCAGAAGCATATAAGGCAGAATGTGCCCCCTGAAATGATCTCGCACCAAGAAATTGCATGGGGCGGGAGTCCTCTTGAAGGTTAAGTAATTAAAAGGCAGGCTAAGAAAAACCCCAGTTTATAATATTGTCATTAGTTATTATTTAAATCAGCATTTTAGTCTGGCATCAGGAACATTCTCTTCTGTTTTTTGAAAGGGCCTTATTGCTTTAGTGGGTCTCTTACTCTCACTCTCCACATCACTGAGGCCCAGTGTGAGCTTGGCCAATACCCAGAAGAAAGGGACTATTTTCTCCCCCTTGAAAGGGACTGGTTGGGAATGTCAGATCAGCTTCTTAGTCTCAGAATTGTAAAACACCACCTGCCCCACACATAGTCCAGATACATGCCGACCTTCCTGGGGCTCACATTCAGGGACAGGAGGCTCTTTGGGGAGGTGGGAGCCCAGAGCTGATTCCCCCGCTGCTACAAAGCCCAGAAGCCCTCCTAAGGTTTAAAGCTGATCACGCCTTTCCTTCTCCACAGACTCCCTGGCCACCCCCACAGTACAATTTTCCCCCGCCCCCACATCTGCCTCCCAATAATGTCTTCTCGAGGTGAACCTCACAGAGCCCAGCACACATTGCTCAAAATCAAATCTCTTGTGACTTTGGGGTAGGGCCTTCCACTCCACATTCTATTCCACAGATTTCTGATCTGGAGACACCAGGAGCTGGGATTTGCTGTGTCCGGGTCCAGGGTCTCGTCCTCTGCAGCAAGAGACAGAACGTCAGGGCAGACCAATAGTGGGGTGGGAGGAGAGGAGGAATGGTGCCAGAGCATGACTGCAAAGCCACTCTGGTCAGGGTTGATGGGTGAGGGGCAGAGAGATTCAGAGTAGATACAGCCCCACGAGAGGGAGAGACAAGCACTGAGGGAAGCC